CTGTTCCCACCTGCAAACTTGTCTCAGATCCTTGGCTCTAATGCGGTGAGGTGCTGGTATGTGGTGTGACCTCCTGTGCCCTTAAGGAGAAAAACACTGGCTTTCTTATGGCCCTAATCAATCAGTTTCTCTGCAGCTTTTCTTTATCATAATTAAGTGAGGAAGAAAGTACTGACTGCTCTCATTTTATTGAGACAGTGAATGGAAAGAGCCTAGAGACACAGCATTGCTGAATATTGAATGGCACTCGAAGGTACTCCTCTGGTCTAACAGACTGAGAGGTGCTTTTAGACTGCAATAGTGGGGGTCTGATTTCAGTAATTTAGTTTGGGTAGCTATAAAAATAGTCTGGTTTTATGCAATGATTTTTTTATCAGTTTCAGCAGTGGCTGGACTGTTAATTAGTGAGGGTGCCAAGATTCAGGTGGCTGTTTTAACCATTTTGAGCATTAATACAGTTCTTACCTATGTCTCTACTGTTCCAATCAAAGATGTGAAAGTGCAACTAACTCTAAGTTTCAGCTCTCCCTCATCCTTTACATTTTTGGCTGTCTTTAATAATGAAATTATGACTTGGTGGAGATGGGGATGTTAGTAAAACCTTAAAAAGCAGTACCAGCTTCTGCAAGCTTGTGTGACCAGTTCTGTGGAAGTTCAGGGCCTAAGCTGACATGTATTTTTCAGACCCCTTTGTCAGTATACCTGCAGATATTTTGTTCTGGCTGAGTGTCTGGCCCGGAGTACTTAAAACAGCTGTGACTCTTGATGCTTCAACTGTAGGTGTAGTGTTAATGGATTATTTGAGACAATAGCCACAACAGAGAAATGGTTTGGCATTTGTTTAAAAATTTACTAATAATATTTTTAGTGGGACTACTTTTTGAATGTATAAAGGTAAATTCTTAGACAAGCACATGCAGGACTGGTGGCTGGAATTTTGCATGTGTGGTGGTTATGGCAATGAATTATCCTGTTGAATAACTGGGCTTTTAAAGCATTATTTAGATATTAGATTGAAATGCACATATTTTATTCACTTTTAGAATCTACATTTAGAGTTTGGGAGATAATGATGTCAACAGTAACAATGGGAAATGTAACTTGTTGCGGCCTTGATGCTACAGTAACTCTCCAATTTATATATGTATGACATCTTCGCCTGTGGAAATGACTAAATATTGTGTTTTAATCCCAGCTGGCAGCTAAACCCCACACAGCCACTTGCTCACTCCCCGCCGGTGGGATGGGGGAGAGAATCAGAAGAGTAAAAGTGAGAAAACTCGTGGGTTGAGATAAAGACAGTTTAATAGGTGAAGCAAAAGCCGTGTGCACAAGCAGAGCAAAACAAGGAATTCATTCCCTCCTTCCCATCAGCAGGCAGGTGTTCAGCCACCCCCCGGAAAGCAGGGCTCCATCACACGTAATGGTTACTTGGGAAGACAAACGCCATCACGCCGAATGTCCCCCCCTTGCTGCTTCTTCCCCCAGCTTTATACGCATGATCACCTTTTACACACAAGTACTTGATCTGTGAAGAACCACATAGGATTGGCATGTTGAAAGCTGACGAGGTGATGAGAGAATATAGTAAGCAGGCAGGTGAATTGAAATAGGTTAGTTATATGGAGGGTGTTTTAGTTTACTTCAGTTCTTGAAGTATAGAGCAATATATCTTTTAAAGATGTTGCACAAAATTACTTGCGAATCCTGTGAACATACAGCTAGCTTCAGGTATTCAAGTTGGATGTCCAGCTTCCTCCTTCTGAAATTCTTATTTTGGAAGTACACCGGTGTACATATGTTATTAAGTTTTGCCTGTAGAGTGGGTGAAATGCATGCACTCACCTTATAGTGAATGAATAAGGGATGCGTTTTAGTTAGTTTCTGCATTTTTTTCTTTTGTTCGTGGTAATTGCTAGTTGCTAAATAGTTAGGTAACTCCTTTTCTATTTTCTGCTGTATTCACGCTTTACCTGTGTGTAGTTTATCCATTTACTCAACACTACACTAAACGCTGTGGAAGAGTTGTGTTGTTGGGAGATTTGTGGCAGAGGCATTTGGGGTTGTTTGGGTTTTGTTTTTTTGTTTTTTTGTTGTTTTTTTTTTACAAACAGGTTTTAAAAAACAAGTACAATATTTTTGTTTGCAGTGATGTTTGTATATATGCTGTGTAGGTCAGACTGATTTTCATGAAGAAGGTTTGTTCCTCTTGAAAAGAAGTAAATAATAGCCATTATATACAGCCAAGAATCCTTAAGCTTTTGCTGATGGGTTGGAACAGTTGAGTGCTTGGAGTTCTCAAGGAAAGCTGAGCTCTGCTTTGTGAGACAGTTTCTAAACATGTAGTAATAGCTAATACACCTCTCAAAAGGTCAGTGAACACAATAGAGAAAGCTGGGAGAAAAAGTATGTTCCTTTTATGCTCTCTTGTAAAATTTTTTGTTCAAAGATGCACAACAAATGTGGAAAAGCTTGACAACTGTATTTTACATTTTATTATGAAATACAGAACATTCTTCTGCGTTGCATCTCCTCAGCATGTTTGTTTTTATGGAAGTTGTGTTTTACGACAGGTATACAAATCATGTGGAAGCTTTCTCAGTTCTGCTAACAGGCTTATCCCTTACACTGGCAACTGACCTCTTAAGAATGATGTCTAAACAGAATCTTCATATTTAGCTGTTCACGTCACTTGAGTGAAATACTAATGTGTGAAGATGGATGCATGGGACGCACAGTGTTATGATATCAGATGGATTTCATCTCAGGTCTTACAGACCTTGTTAGTGCATCTTTAAATAAATAAATAAATTTCCTTTTTACAATCTTTACGTAAAAAAGAATAATTAAAGTCGTTTTAACAACAAGCAAAAAGCAAAAGGGAATCTGGCAGGCAAAGGAGAATACATGCTTGTGTGTTTAAACATACTACACACATTACTTGTGCTTCCTGTCCTGTACTCTTTATTAACCCATGTCCAGGCAGTTAGTGCACTACAAGTCTTTAAAATGGCTTTAGTTTTATAATCACTAATTGCAAAGGCCTCCATGCCCCAGATATTTCATTTTCTATTCTTGCTTACAGGTGCACAGACATACTGTAGATTTTCAGAAATGGCCAGTTGCTTGGTGATGGAAATAGAAGACATTTTTTTGGACTCAAACTAATTTTTCAGTATTGCTTTTAAGTAACTTCTTAGTTTCTGGTGTGTTTTCTGTGAATAGAAACATGGAGTATGACATCTGTAATAGTATAAGCGGTGGTGGTTTATGGATGTAAATAGCAAAGTCATGCCTCTTATTGTTGTTGGTGAGAATTTATGATGCTTAGCTACATGCAAATTATTTATCTCCTTCTGCTCCTACCATAGCTTTTGAATCCTAAACTCTTCAGAAAAATATTCTAAACAGGGAAATGATATAGTGCTTATGTGTACTTAAGCTGGAAAAATAAAGTTAGTGCTTTGAGCATTAGGTGATGAAAATGTAATGGGTAGTCAGGAATGCTCTAAGTGCCTAGCCAAAGTTCAGCCTGGAATTCGTAGAGGGCACTTTACGTGATGTTCCTCTTACTGTTTAGAAATGCTATTTGTTAGTGCAAGGTGATCTGTATTGTAGTTTAGTGAGACATCAGAAGTAGTTAATGTGTTGTTTCATTAGCCTTACTGATATCTGTAATGAATGTTTGTATTATTGACAACACAGCTGTTGTCTAGCTGTTAATGCAGCTTTATGCTTGAAAAACAAGTCTTATATTCATATATCTTGCTGCTTTTGAATACTGTGCACTAGTCTGGACAAAGGAAAGACATTTTGAAATGTTGCTGGGTGCAGAGTTGAGCAAAGGTCAGACACAGTGCAGCCAATTGCAGTTGAAACTGTTCCCCTAACCTGAAAATGCCAACTTCTAGGGAGGCCAATGGTAGTTAAGTCTGTATCTAGGTTTGGCTCTCAATGTCCATGAGCAAAGAAAGAGCTTCCTGCTACTACCGCTTGAAGAACAGAGTCCCCTCAGGGCCTGAACTGAGCCTGATCGTGATTACTTATTGCTACACTTTAGGTGGAAAACTTGATAGAGCTTTTAATACCTAACCTGTCCAAGCATCATTGTACTCAGTGCATGTAGTTTAAATGCCTCAGCTGCGTTTTCCCTGCATTTATCAATACATGCTATTTTTAGTGTGTGAGGGAACATGTACCCTTTTTCATTCACTTCATTCTTGTTAAAAAAAAAAAAAAAGTGAAAGCCCAAAACAACATAACACTCCAAAACAAACTCTTCAGGTACTGGACAGCATGAAGCATTCTCAGTGAAAATACTGTATGACAATGTTAACTTCAGAATTGGCTGTTTCTTCATTATTCTGTGGAGGTAATTGTCAAATGCAGTTTCAAAGTTCTTGAGTACCATGAGGATTCGTTGTTGTCAGATTAGACATGTAATGTATAAATACATGGGATTGTTTGCAAGATCTTATGTCAAGTGCAGATTGCCAGGTTGCTTTGATATTGAGCAAAAAATTCACTGTAACATCATAAAATTTGCTCTCCACAGCATCCAGTTTTTGAAATAATTTCTTTGGCTGCTGGAACCCACTACAACCTCTGCTTTGCAGTGAAGCTTAGTAGTATGCTTTCACATGGCAATCTTCCAGATGAATATTGATTATTTTGAATTATGTATGTTGGGTGATAGTAGACAGTGAAGTTAAAAACACAGCCATAAGGAAGTGCTTGTGTATTGTAATTTTCTGTTCCCCAGCTTCCTGACATGTAGTTTCTTAATTTGGGACTATTCAAATATATTTGCTGTTCTCTGAAAACTGAATTTGTGAGGAAGGTAAAATAAAATTCTAAGTATGCTTATATTTGTGGGTTTTTTTGTGGTTTTTGTTTTGTTTTTGTTTTTTTTGGCTAGTTGTATGACTGCTAAGCACCTCTGGAAAATAAGCCATTGATTATAACAAGATTATCTTACTTCCTAAACAGGTGTCTGGAAAATGGAGAAGACTTTGAACAGAATTCATCCAGTTTCTGATCCAGAAGCAACATATTTTCTACAAGTATCATGGGAAAAAGATTTAGGCACTGGCTTTGGTATATTACTTAGTGATGGTCAATGTGCATGGACTGGGACAGGTAATAATGGAAAGAAAAAAAATGTTTTAAATTATTACTGTTCTTTATTATGATTTTTAAACACTTTCTAAATTGTCACCCACAACTTGTATCAAAAACTTTTTATGAGCATTACCTCTCTCCAGGGATGGAAGAGGTGGTGTTCATGGTCTTCTGGGATGTGTTCAGAGATCTTTCAAATCTGGAAAGATTGCATGCCAAACCTAATACTAATTCATTTAGCATATGAGTATGCAATGTTTTATTCTTTCTTAAGAATACAATTTCTTGCAATGCTGTTGGAGTACTCCTTATGGGTGTTTTCCAGATCCTTGAACAAATGTGTCATGCAAGTTCCATTTGCAAATTATGGTTCATGAAGCATTTAATTACAGATGTTTTTTAAATGTTTTCCTAAAATCTTAATAATTAAAGGTGGCTGTATTTGGTACTCAGATGACTTTTTGAGAAGGAGAAGGGACAAGAAAATATTTTTATCCTGGGCATAAGTTATAAGAAGAAAAAAAAAAAAGTGTGTGGGATTTTTTTTCCCACTCAGAAACCTGAATAAGAGGACGGTTCTCTTAATATGTTCATGCTTCTCTCATTCATGCCTGGTGAAAGAAGGAAAGATTTGTGTGTTCCTTTAGAAATGTGTCAAATACTTGATTAAAAGCCCTTCTATCAGTAGCAAAAATATTTCAAAGGGAGGAAAGAATGATACATTTTACAGCATATTGTAGGCAAAAACATTTTCCTGACTCTTGCTGAATTATAAGAAGAGATGTTCATGTAATTCCGTTCTTCCTTCTCCCTGCCCAGTGGACATTGTTTCTTCCCAGTTCCTACATAAGCCAAGCTTTCAAATAGGCTTAAGATACCTCTCTCTCTCTGTTAAAAAATAGTGCTTTGTGTATATAGATGCATGTATACAAACTATATATATGTGTGTGTGTGTGTGTGTATAGTTCCTATGTATAAAAAGAAGCTTTATCTTCATTAACCTTCTTTTGAATACAATTTTTACCTTTTTTTTCTTTCAGACCTAGGAAACAAGACTAACTTAAAATGTCTACATATGTATTAAATCTGCTCTTCCCTATTCTTTTTAACATTTCAAACACACAATTGATTAGGAGGTTCTCCACAAGACAAATACATATATTCCAATGCTTATTCCCTGTAGTCTGTTATGAAAGGTTTTTCTTTCTTGGTTTGACAATAGGATAGTCAAACTATATATTTTCAAAATAACAAAAAGGATGTTAACATCAATAAATATTTAACTAATTGAGCATAGTAGTTTTTCTGTTTAAAAGCTTTTCTGGTTGTTTTTGTGTGACTAAAATGCCCAGCTTAAAACTCGCAAAAGCTGATTCTTTAAATCTATTATTTTTCTAAGTAAAAGCTATGTTACCATAACTGGTAGAGTATAGAAAAAATACGTAAACACAGTTCTCATTTTGTTAACTTCCTGCATCTGGCAGAATGGCTGGATGATCATTTCCCAAAACAGAGGACCAGTGAAAGCAAGATGACCTCACTCTCTTAAAAGGAAAGAAAGAAACCCACAACAGTTTAGCATGAGCACTGGGTACTCATCCAAAGGAGAGTGCTTCTATTTCTTCTGCAAGAATCTGATTAATTTCTAAGGAATTCCTATTGAATTTGTAGTCCTTTGAATAATTTCATTAGGAGTTGAAGTTCTTGTGCATGAGGCTTTCTTACTGCACAGACCTGTGTTTTCATACACTCAATGCTGGTTTTGATCACTTTTTCTAAGTTATTACATCACGTTTGAGACTGCCCAGATTCTGAATTCAAAACCTGGGAGCAGGGAAAGCAGTGGTCAGAAAATTCTTGCTATGGGAAATCCCTTTCGGGTTTCTCATGCTGTGCATTATTTTGCTTGGCAAGACCTACCAGGAAGTGAATGAGAGTTGCTGATGGAGTTGTCTTTTATGGTTTTTGTATATTTAATGTGATGTTGAAAAGTGTTAGGAGTCCTATTTAAGGAGGCAAAAAAAAAGTAAATCTTGGGGAGGAGGAGAAGCACACAAATATGCAATATGATCTAATGTATTCACTTGGTATTGGGTTAAAGAAGTACAGATATATGTACTTATACATTTCATGTTTCTCTAATGATTGATCAGTTCTGCTAGTTTTATAAGATAAAGGAACAGCAGCATGTACAGGCACCACAGGAGAAAAAAACCTACAGTGCTGTATTACAGTATATTAGTATCTTTGGTTTTTTAGCTCTCTTATTTGCATTAAAAGTTTATCTAATTTTTTCAGTGTTCAAAGCATTGTTCTAGACAAACACTTATTTTTGCAAGTCTTAATGTGTGAGGATTAATGCACAACTGACTTTGACTTAGCAGTTGCTTGCTTGTAGGTCTTTTCATGTTTGCAGTGCTGCATGCTGGCTTTTGCTCTTGTTTATGTCCCTGTATGCCAGCTGCAGATGTCTGGTGCATTGGGAAGGAGGCAGTGATGCAGCATTGCAGCTAAATAGTGTGGCTTTGCATTCGAAGTCTTGTTTGTAGCACAAGTACTAGCTGGCCATGCATGTGGCCCTCTGTCTTAGCCTCTCTCTCTTCATGTATTAGGAAAGGGGTTTACATATTAGAAAAAAGATGGTTGTGATGTCCATGCAGGGAAAAAAGGATTGTTGCACCTTTATCCATTTCTCTCGCTCTCTCTCTGACCTGTGTTCCCTTTCATAAAGATTTTTTTAAACCCCAATTTAGTGAAGAGGGCTGCTGTTTACTTTTTGCTCTGTTTAAATTTGTCTTGTTGGGTTGTAGGAATACATTTGAAAAGCGTAACATGTTCTTCAAATGATGGTACTAAAATATAAATTGTTTGGAATCATTAGTTTATTAGATGTCTGAGAGTATTTCAGTGCCCTAAAGCTCATCAGTATTAGGCTGTATACAAAAACATTTATGTACGATTCTGTATTACATCTCCTGTAATGGACAGCAGAATACAGTTTCCATTTCGGGAGATGTGCTTTTACAAAGAGAGCACATCTTGAGCTTACAAAGCTGGAGGGATGTACAGTTAAAATATGCCACACTTATCCCTGGCCTCTTTTTTCCAACCCCCTCCATTTTTTTTTTTCCCTTCTTTGCAATATAGGTAATGCAACTTAAAATGTAAAGATAGTAGCATGTTCTCCAATCTAGGAATACTGATTATGAAGTTATTTTATTTCTGTTTTTTTCTAATGGATGCTCCACAGCACTCCTATATTCTTTTTAATGTATACTGACATTTCTGCAGTTTCTGACATCTGCTGAATGTTTGTGTTGTTGCAGATCTGGTAGAATGCTATGTATCGTGCCTTGTCCTTTTACTTTGTGTTTAGCTAGTATGAGTGTGACAGGTTTCCTCTTGTACCTTCAAAAGAAGAGGGGAGCAGAGAATACTCAATTTTAAGCATTGTCTCTTAAGGAGAATATTGGGAACTTTGTGACAGACTTCAGACTGCCATAGGCCTGACATTTCACATCTTGGTGTGACAAAGACTGACTTTTTCATATTTATTGAGAGTAATTCCTTTCTTTTTTTTCTCTCCGCGCCGCACTCCCCCCCCCCCCCCCCCGCCTAGGGAAAAATGCCTTGTGCTAAGGGATAACTAATGTGATTCTGACCCACTAATTTATCCTTTTAACTGAGTGTATCTGCAGACTCAGGTTTTCCACAGAAGGGGGTAGTTTCTCTGTGTATCAACTGTTTGTTTCCTTGCAGTGGTGACATTATCATGCTCTCTCTTGCCACCTGCATCTCCTTTTTCACTCAGCTGTTCACCTATATCTTATAAACAGACTAATAGAGTGGGGTGTTAGTGACTGACCTGCCTTATCAGATTTTGCAGACTTATGGCAATAACTTAAGATAATTAGCGAGGTGGTATTTCTTTTTTGCGTGCACAAATAGTTGATGTATTTGTGAATAGATGATCTAACTGATTATTGTGACCTGTTATTAAAAAAAAAAGGGGGGCACAAAAAAACCAACAAAAAACCCCAGTAACTGCCTCCTCAGTTAAGTCTAAGATCAGTAGAAGTCTACATGTTTTCCATATTTTGAGATGTGTAGAGAGGAGGACTACAAAAGCTGATACTTATGAACAAGGAAGAGCTGGTTGGGTAAGTCAAAGCTGGAGGCAGCCTTTGGCTGCAGTGACTATTGAGTTGGTGGAGTTCAGGATTGTGAGAGGAGGGAACAGAGTAAAAAGCAGGATAACAACCCTAGATTTCAAGAGAGCAGGCTTTGACCTCTTCCAGGATCTCTTTAAAAGAATCCCATGGGATACGATGCTGGAGAGAAGAGGGGTCCAGGAGAGATGGTTGATTTTTAAAGGATCACCTCCTCCAAGCTCAAAAATGGTTCATCTCACGGGAACAAGAAATCAAGCAAAGGTGGCAGGAGGCCTGCATGGATGAACAGGGAGCTCCTGACTAAACTCAGACATTAAAAGGAAGTGTACAAGAGGTGGAAGCCAGGGGAAGGTGACCAGGGAGGGATATAGAGACAGTGACCAAGCATGCAGGGATGGGGTTAGGAAAGCCAGAACCCATTTGGAATAGCATCTGGCAAGGGATGTGAAGGGCAGCTAGGACTTCTGCTGGCTAATCAGCAGCAAAAGGAAGATGAGGGAGAATGTGGGCCTGCTGCGGAATGGGGCAACAGATTGCCCAGAGAGGATGGGGTGTCTCAGTCCTTGGAGATATTCAAAACCCATTCAAAACATAGTCCTGAGCAACCTTTGTAACTGACCCTTCGTGGCTCAGTAGAGTTGGACTAGACCATCTCCAGAGTTCCAACCTCAACCACTGTGAGTCTGTGAAAATAAGCTATAGTTACTGAAAGTGTAGAATTAACCCAGAAATCCTGAAGTGTGTGAGGATATAACTTCATAGCAAATAATTATACATTTATGACTTTGCTGTATTTTTATATGATGGCTTGATTTGATATGTACTGCCTCCTTTGCAATACGAAGTTAGCTACTGTGTCAAAAACATTGGAGAAAAATGAAGAAATTTAAACAGGCTCATGTTCGATTGAAATGATGTTCTATTTCTATCAGTGTGATTTCAATACATGTACAGCCTTATGTCTCAATATGAAACTACCTTCAAAAGCATTTGTATAGAGAAGAGATATAGTTATTAATAGGGGTTTTAAGTGGGATACTTTAAGTCACTTGCAGTTCTGTGAAGGATGTGTTTTGTGTTTTTGGTTTTTGTTTTTTGTTGGGTTTTTGGTGTGTTTTAGTTTGTTTTGGTTTTGTTTTGTAGTTGTTTTTTTCAGGCTGTCACAAACTAATATCCTTTTGCATATCTTGCTCTCTCAAATGCTAGGTAAATCCTAGAAAGGTCTAAGAGCAAGCAGGGGTAAATGACAATCTAGAGCAGTCTTCCTCAGAAGATTGGTCAGAAGAAAAGGAAACACTTCTTTTAGTCAAGTAAACAATCTAAAATACTGTATTGGTAGGCTACACATTAAAGCCTGCATTACATTATAAACATCCTAACTTAGCTTTAATTTAGAGTCTTTGCTTATGTTTGTCTGTGCAAGAAACTGCACTCCTCATTGAGATCACTATTCTGATTAACATTTGGTCTCTGAAAATGCTAAGAAAACAGTATGTAGAACAAAATGAAAAGGAAGGAAAATAACCAGGGGCCCAGGTGGTAAAATCAAGAACTGTTTCTTGTTACCCCTGGTGAAAGATGAGGAGTCTTGGTAAGCTGCCATTTCAGTTTGAGGGTTAACCAAAAGAAGATTTAGGAAGAAATAAATGATCAGAAACAGACAGGAAAGGCTGTTATGGTTCTTAAAGACAGTACATCTTTATTGGCCTGTTCTGTACCATATTCAACCATTCTTCATCTTCAAAGGAATAGAATAAAATTTTCTTCATACATCTGATGTAACGCAAACTGGAGACACATCCCCCATTTAGTGGTCCTTGAATGTGAACAGTAAACCATGGATTCTTAAGTCCCTAGGTGTAGCTTCATTTTCAATTTGATGGTTTATTTTGTTTTAAGGTTGTAAGTTACAAACTTGGAAAACTGGATCAAGAATGTGTGAGGAGACAGTTGCATCTGTTGTCTTACAGGGTTTAGATTACAGGCTTTCAAGGAGAACTGAGAGGGCACGATAAATCATAGTTAAAACATTCCACTCTTTGTTGTAAGGTTAGTGTTATTCAGAATAACTTTAGGCAAGCAGAATTGTGGACTAGTAGCAATAAACCATTTTCAGACAGGAAAAAAAGGGACAGAACTTAATTCTTATGAAAAACTCAGTATTTCTGCTACATTTCCATTAGTGTCTGGCACACTGATACATGTCAAGGAAACAATAGTTTCCTAATATTTGCCTGTCCCTTAAGGTGTGTGAGTGTGTGTCTGTACGTACATATAAATGTATATACATGTTCACACACATATGAGTATTTATTTTTTACATGTTTCTTTCTGATAGTGTCTGAAGCTGAAATTTCTAGGGAGGCTGCTGACATGGAAATGAATAGAGGAAAGTATGTCGAAGAACTGAAGAAAGCGTTGATAGCTGGAGAAGAATCAGCTGGCAAATATAACTTTGCTATTTCAAGAGATGAAGAAAATATGGAGTGTCACTTTTCCTATGAAAGAAATCTGAAAGATGGCTCTGTAAGTATAGTTGAATGTTTAAATTTGACTGTTAAGCTACAAGAAGGACTTTCTCAGTATGTTTCTGTATTTTATTAGGTTCTTTAAAATCAAATAGACCTGTGGTACATATTTCAGACTGAATGAATATTATGAACTCTGCCACGGCCCAAACTAGAAACAAGTTTGTGGTTTCCTATCAAAACCTGGTATCAATAGAACTATTTCTGTGTTACTTTCTTAAATGCTACTGAGTAAGAGTATTGCTTCTCTATTTAAGTTTTGGATCACTGTAGTGATAGGACGAGGGGTAATGGATTTAAACTGGAAGAGGGTAGATTTAAACTAGATATTAGGAAGAAATTTTTTACTGTGAGGATGGTGAGACACTGGAACAGGTTGCCCAGAGAAGTTGTGGATGCCCCATCCCTGGAAGTGTTCAAGGCCAGGTTGGATGGAGCTTTGAGCAACCTGTTCTAGTAGAAAATGTCCCTGCCCATGGCAGGGGGGTTGGAGCTAGGTGATCTTTTAAGATCCCTTCCAACCCAAACCATTCTATGGTTCTATGATTTTGGTTCTTTTAAGCGGGGTATGCCTACATGTTGGAGCTGCAGTTCAGTAGTAAGCTGATACCTTCCGTAAGCTGTAACTTTGTTTTTAATTCCTAACTTGGGAAGCATGCTTCTCTTTTGAAATTCCAGCCCCCAATGCATTTCTGCTTCGCTTGTTTCTTCTTTCTTCTCTCTCTATACTCACCTAAATACAGAAAAATATTAAAATTTAAGTAAGATTGTTTTGAAATGCTAAAACCTGCTTTTAAAATGAGCTTTTCTAATGCTTTAAGTATTTTGGCAGCTAACACTAAAACTGTTTCCTGCTTGGAAATGCATTAAGTTACAACTGGGAATGTGGTTCCATGTTGGTTTCTTAGCTGCAAAAGAAAGGACCCTGCTAAAGCAAGAAAGAAACCAGTAGCACCTGTATCTGTAGACACTTTTAGCTATTTCAGGTTGTGGTCTGGTGTTAAATCTTTTCTGGGGAAGAAGCTAATTTAAGGTAATCCTCCTTGCTTATACTCTTTTTTTTCCTTCCCCCCAAAAATTAGTGCTCTGCCTTTCCCAAGGTTTGTCACAGCTTTCGTTGTGCCAGGATAGCAGTTGGGCTGACTGACCACTGAGCCACATTAGTGAAATAATTTGGGTTTAAAAAGCACTGACTTAAAATTGCATTTATCCAGTTCACGGCACAGTTCTGCAATCAGTTTCACTAGCGTTCTAGCATTATTAAGGGGAAGAAAATCGTGGGGAGAGAATGGAGGGAAGACTGCAGATAGAGAAGACCAGGAATGTCTTGGCCAGATCTTTTTTTTTTTTTTTTTTTTCCTGGGGAAAAAAATCTGGCATGGAGTTGTGTCTGGGAGCAAAGTGTCTAGGGATTGTCTTACCTGCTTTCTTTTAAAAGATTTCTTCTTGAGACCATTGGAACATGCTTTGCTTCTCATTTGGTTAATTTTGGCAGGGATCCTCTTTTAAGAAACTAGCAGAGGTGTCCGACTTTTAAAAAAAAAAAACAAACCAAAACAAAGAAACTACCTTCTCTGGGATGTGTCTGTTGGAAGTGAAAGGTGAAAATACTTTTTTTTCCTCTAAATTGAAAATAGGCAAAGAATGCAGTATAGGTATTGGTCACAAACCTCGAATGGGAACGTGTGTATATTTCACATATGCATATCTCTTAGATGAGATGAGAAAAAACTGACTTTAAATGGGGCGGGGGGTGGGGGGCAATCAGATTACCTAATCAGTAGCAGCTCACTTATGTGCTTATTGTCAAGAGTCTTTGCTTCATTTTAGTAAGCAGAGAAAGAGAGATTCAGTGGAATGAAGTTTGGCTTCTTAAGAGTACTTCATTATAGGCCTTTTTCCTTGTGCAATATAGGAAATTGCAGCACAATTTGGATCTTGACTGAGCTGCCAGAAGTTAGGTGATGTAAGTGTTCCAAATCTGTGTTATCAATATTTCTGTGTATTTACCCAAGGCCTTATGGGCTCTGTACCCCCTTCTTGACACTTCTTGTGCTGTTCACAAAGGGTCTAGGTGAAAAATACTATATTACAGCAGGATTACAAGGTTAGGAACCAATTGTACTTAGAAAATAAGAGCAATAATTTTAAGAATCCCGTTGTTCTTGTCTGTGTCACGCATAATATATTCTAAATACCAGACAGATGAAATACCTACTATATTTTTATTAAGGGAAAATATCTTCATATATGGGCCCACCTAATATGTTTCCATCAATTAAGGCTTACGAGAAATTTAATTCATATGAAAACATCTTTATGTCAATTTGGGAAAATAATAATCTGGCCAAAGAAACTGAAAATACAAAGTGTCCTGGCTGCTATGCGTGCTTTTAGCTTTGGGTGTCAAAAGTGTGTTTTTTAGAACAGATGTCATTTCTTGGGTGAACAGATAGCTTTCAGGTGTATAATAGAATATGTTTCAAACACTTTGCAAATTTTCTGTGAAAATATTCATGATGTATATCTTTCAGCATCAGATTAGGAAATTAATCTTCATGGGCTCTGTACATCCAGAGGAGTGAGATTCAGCTAAATGTACATTTACCGCAGAGGAAGCCTAGAGAAACTACTCTGTGACTTACACACTGAATTTAAGTCATGTTTATCTCTTATTAGTACTTATTTTTCTTACTGGCTATGAGTCTTTGTCTTTTGTTTAATCGTTATGAATATTTTCTCTTTCTCTTTTCGTGTTTCAGCAACTGTATATATACACAAATTACAGCCTTCCCAGTCTTGGGAAGAGTGTTGCAGGGCAGGGGCAGGACGGGACGATGATGGCGACGTGTGTGAAGAGAGGAGAGCTTTTGGTTAGACTGTACTGCGTTTCTTTTGTTAGATGTGCTACCTGCAGTCAAACTGAGAGATGTAGTTAGTCCAGCCACGAAGATGTGGTTGGTTGTGTTTGAATACTTAAAGTTTTGCTTAGTCTTAAATAATGCAGTTAACACTTTTTAGTTAAAAAAACCCCAAAACTTCTGAAATGCATTGTTATACTTTGTGAGCTATAAAATGCTTATTAATTCATGCAGCTACCTATTATTGCAAGTTTTTTCATCCAGTACACAGGTGCCTAAAAATAAATCTTGTACTCTTGGAAGGTCAATATACCTTTTGTTAGAGGTTTATGCATGCTTGTGTATGCAAACTTGATTATTTTAATTAATTTTAATGAAACCTACCTACAGCACGATGTTGATCACCAACAGTCACCTATGCCCATGTCAGTCAGTAATTTCCAGTGCAGTGCTCTACCATAGTTCTCCATCCAGTCTGGATAAACCACTAATTCCTAACAGAAGAGTAGAATTTCTACAAAACAACTTGCTTTTTTTCTGCTGAATACATCGTAGATTCAGTTGAGTTATGTCCTGTGTCATTATTTACAAATGATACCTAAACAGGCTATAAATAATTGCTGGCTGAAAAGTCTATGAGGTTTAGGTACTTGATGGGTATACCCCAGCTGGAATGAGCATGTTAAAAGAATTCACAGTGGTAAATCCTTGCAGCTTGTAAGACAAGTTGCTTCTTATTCTGTCTTGTTGTTAAGAAAATTCATATTTATTTGTAGATACCATAGTTTAAATGAATAATCTCAAATAACATTCTTGATGCATTTATAATTCACACTAGTTAATAATAGTATGGTGTTTACTGATTTTTGTTACTTCAATTCATGAAGAGAATGTGTCTGAGAAAACAGAAAAAGAGCAATAAACTACAACTAATTTTTTTGTATATTGCATCCATGTTGGAGAATTATACTGCTACATCTGTGTACACCATCTTGGTGTATCTGTTGATCCCTGTTTCTTGCCAATATCTGCACATGTGAAACATACTCTGTACATGATGAGCATGCTTCGTATATAGACTAGGAACTTAGTAAACAGATCTAATTTGTCATAAATAACAAAAGCTTTTGTGTGGTGGTGCATCAGAAGCTAGTGTTTAGGATTTTAAGTCTTAAAAAGCAGTGTTTACAGTGTTGCAGATCACCAATTTAATCATTATTGACTGATGTGAATTAAAGTTAGGTCTGTCATCAGTGTCACTTGATCTTTCTCTTGATGAGCATAATTTTCAGCTAGGTAATTACCCATGTTGAAATAGTATACGTGTGTATAATATATAATTTATAGAGACACATGTAGTTTTCAGGGGCTTAGTGAATGTTTAAATCTGAAATACTCTGTTTTCAATAGTCTATTTTTCTGAGATTTTTTTTTTTTCAGTCACATGTTTGCTTATTTGTTCTCCAGTCTTCTGGTAGAGAATATCTCTAGGTGATTTTGTACTAGTGACTTGTAATAGTCACTTGATGATGATAAAATGTGTTAGATACTGAATTTTCATTTCCATAACTGTACTAAACTGTGGTATTTGAAATATTTTTTACCTTCTTTGGAGCAGCTTGCTAAAGATCTGCTTCCTTAAAATATCATAATATGCCAAAGCTGTATCAGCTGGTCTATAGGAGTGTAAATGAAAATAGAGTGATGTTAAGCAATGGGAAAATGTAGGCATATTGTTGGGAAATATTTTCTGATGTTGAAATTTGATTTGCTGCTGAAGTGTTTGTGAGAGGAAGTGGTAGCAGCCCCATTGCATCAGTCACTTAAAAATGGAGTGGGCAAAGGAGTGGAAAATGCACTGTAAGTAACTATCCTGCATTGGCAGTATAGTACATTAGATGACTTAATAGGTGTTCTTCATCCCAAAAACCTTTGAATCTCTGTTTGTCTGCCAAGACTACTGTATATGTGAGCTCCATTGGTCTGTGGTGCAATGAATGTTTTCACTAAGGAACTTAATATTTACAGGTGGACAGACACACACAGGTTGAAGAACAATAGGGTGGAGGATATAGTTATTGTAAGTTGTCTCATGAAAACCAATTTATCATCCCTCATTAGGTGCCACAGGTTGGTT